TTTAATAACCAAGCTGACTGGCCAATAGCTGGGCAGGAAAAAAATTGGGCAGGGGAGCCAGACTAGGAGAATTCTGGGAAGAAGGAGGGCAGAGTCTGGAGTCATCAGCCACATACAGAGGGAGCAGAGCATAAATAAGGAATACGGGTTAATTTAAAATGTAAGAGTGAGTTAGTAATAAGCCAGGGCTATTGGGCAGACATTTACAATTACTATTAAGACTCTGAGTGATTATTTGAGAATGGCTGTGAAGCAGGAAAACTCCACCTACAGTTATTATTAACCAAATGAGAGAATAGGCATAAAGCTCTTTAAATAGTACCCAATATATAGTGAGCTACTATATTCACTAAAACAAAATACCCGAGATAATTAACTTATAAAGAAGAAAAGTGGGGAATGTGGCTGAGTTGGTAGAGTGCTTAGTATGCACAAAACCTGGGTTTGGTCACCATTACAGGATAAAACCAGGCCTGCTGGTGTATACCTGTGAAAAAGCACTGAGAAATAAAGGCAGGAGGATCAAACGTTTGAGATCATCCTTGGTTCTCAAGCAGCTTTGAGGCCAATTTGGATCCATGAAATCCTGTCCTTAACAAAGGGAGAAGCTGGAGCTGGAGAGACGGCTCAGTGATTAAGAGCACACACTGCTCTTCCTGAGGTCCTGAGTTCAATTCCCAGCACCCACATCAGGTGACTCACAACTGTCTTTAACCCCAACTCCAGGGGAATCTCACACATCTGACTTCTGCAGGAACTTACGTTCATGCACACATACCCCCTCCTCACATACATGTAATTAAAATAATAGAAATAAATATTTAAAACAGGGGAGAGAAGCTAGCCAAGAATGGTAGTGCCCTGGAGGCTGAGGTGGGAAGGTCATGCATCTGAGGCCGACTGGGGATACTGGTGAAGCTTTGAGCATAAACCAAAAGGAAGGGCAACTGGGAGAGACACAGGGCTCAGACGTCCTCAGACGAGATTGAGGAAATTCTCTGTCTGAGGCCACTGCTTATCTCATGGCCTGTCAGCAAAGAGGAAGGGGTTGAGATTTCTAAATTCCTTCGAAGACAGAGCTCTAGAGACCTAAGGACCTTCTGTGAAGATCTACCTCCTGGATGTTCCAGCACTTCCCAATAGCACCGTACCCTGTGAAGAAGCCTTCAACCCACGGGCCTTCGGGGGACTGTCCACGTGTAAACTCTAGCACACAGTCAGTGGTCACTGAAGAGCGGGTACCACAGATGCCACTCCGTGCCTTCTCACCATGGGGTTCACGCAGTGTACTCCAGCCTGCTTCTTAGAGTTGCAGGTGTAGACATTTTTAGCGGTCTGATAAGATCTAGTTACAGAGGGCACCAGGGATGTCCTATTTGCAGAGAGCCTTCTAGGGCTGCTTGCTCAGGTTTAACTGTGCGGGCTTTCAAAGGCCACTGCAGTCGTGGTCCAAAGGTACCAGGCTACATCTTGGGCTGTGGTGATGGCTCAAGTTTCTGTCTAGCTCTGATGTCCTGAGATGTGAGTCTTGGCCACATGCTCCCACCGCGGCGAGCACAGCTGTGCCTTCTCGGCCATGGCAGACTGAAGTGCCTCTGAGACGGCAAGCTCAAATGAATAGTTCCTCATTTGAGCTGTGTCTGTCGGGTAACCTGTCACCGCAGCGCAGAAAATAACTGAGGTGTCGGAATGTAGCTAAGGGGAGAGAGCGAGGGAGAGGGCTGGACCCCAGGGGACTCATGAGGCCAGCTGCATCGGGCCTTGCTGCTCCTGCCTCTGCCCCCAAAACTCACTGTGACTGGCTGTTGTATGCATGACTGTGGTCTCTGGCAGTATCCACGCGGGCTGGGCTGGTGACGTGACTGGCATGAGGGTCTCTCTAGTGGCTCCTTGGGCATCTTTCGTATCCTTCTTCCTCTGAAAAGAAAAATCTCCTAGATCATGGCGGCCTCCTCTTCACTCACAGCCCTGCCCTGATCAGAACCGTTTTGAACAAACCATAGATCCCAAAGAGCCTAGCTCTGTGGTTCCCTCTCCTTCCTGGCTACTCCGGTGTGCCAACCAAGTTCCTGCCAGTAGCTCGCAGGATAATTGGTTGACTGGTCAGCAGGGTCCCTGTCCTAGGGGAGACACAGATATCTACCTCAGGGGACTGCTTCTGCACGATGAGGCTTTTTCAAGTCCTTACTGATGACATGGTGACCCTTCCCCCCATTTAGGTTTTTGTTCTTATTTTTAAGAATAATTTTACTTTTTTATGTATGAACATTTTGTCTGCATGTATATATCTGTTTACCACGTGTGTGTGCCTGGTTCCTGTGGAGGTCGGAAGAAGGCTTCGTATCCCCAGGAACTGGAGTTACAGATGTTTATGAGCCACCATGTGGGTGCTGGCAATGAACCTTGATCCTCCTCAAGAGCCGCCAGTGCTCTTAACCACTGAGCCAGCTCTCCAGCCCTACCCATTTATTTCTTTGTTAGTGTAGGGCTACTTTACAATCCTTCTAAAATCTCATTTCCTTTTTTTTTGTTGATTAGATTTCTTCTTTACTTTCCCATAATTAAATAATTTTTGTTAACAACAATATTAGCCAGTGTGCTAATTGGGCAATTTTCATACACTACGTGTAATCCACACCACCACCTGGCTAATTTTATGGACGAGGGGAGAGGAGCTCAGAGAGAACAGTAGCTGGCTATCAGCAACGTGCTGCAGATTTTTTTCTTCCTGGCATTACCTCAGGAGGATGGGAATTTTTCTTACCATTGGAAATGAAAAGGAAAATATTTCCGTTTACTTTTGCTTTTTAGGCTTTCAAAACAGGCTCTCAACCCCCTTTCTGAGACTGTAGGTGGGAAAACCAAATATTTGGATTCTCACAAGCCTAGGTTCTGAAAGGTTCTGACAGGCAACGTGACAGCTACTCTCCGGTTGTCAGCTTGACTACAGGTGGAAGTAACTAAAGGCCAGGAAGCTGGGTGCACTTGGGAGGGACTTTTCTTGGTTGGATTATCGTAGGTGGGAGACCCACTTTACATCTTTAAGAAACCCCTTACTGATGTTTAGCTATGCTAGTTCATTCTCTCAGTTCTGTTTCTTTGAGAACACTGCCTCGTTTGTATGCCTGGTGTGTCAGAAAGCAGAGTCCTTTATGCGGAAAGGCTCACAGCTTATCCATCGTGAAAGGGGGTTAAGAAAGGGTTTGTGTGCTGGGTCATGGTGGTGTTTAATCCCAGCACTCTTGGGAGGCAGAGGCAGGCGGATCTGTGTGAGTTCGAGACCAGCATGGTCTACAGAGCAAGTCCCAGGGCAGCCAAGGCCACACACACACACACACACACACACACACACACACACACACACACCCTGTGGCGAAAACAAGACAAAACAAAATCAAGAGAAAAAAACCCAAACAACAACAACAACAACAACAAAAGTTTGTGAACCCTCCCTATGGAAGAACACCTGGGGTGTAGATTATTAGGGGGTGGGGGAATTGCTCTGGAAGGTGGGATGGGGAGACTGAGGACCTGATCATTGCTTGTACCAGGAGTATCATCTTATTTATTTATTTAGAGAACGAGTCTCACATAACTCAGGCTGGCCTTGAATTTGTTATATAGCAAAGGACAGGCTTGAACTTCTGCGTCTTCTGCTTCGACCTCTTGCGCGCTGGGACTAGAGGTGAGCATCTTTGTCCACAGGGACGAGTTTGGAGCCCATCCTGCATGCTAGGCAAGCACTCCGTTGAGCGTTTCTCTCCCAGAGATACGATTTGATGGGGTTCTTTCATTTTGCCTTGTGTAGCTCGCCACACAAGTCCACACGATGTCTGTGGCTTTTATCCCTGGAGCCTGGACTAGCCCTCCGCTGCTGGCTAACGGGAAAGAATATGAACAGTTAAGTGGTGTTATCAGCGTTATCAAACGAGAACCCAGATGGGCCGATGGCACAGAGGTAGGCAAGGCCTTAGTGAGAGATGAAGACCTGGCTGCCAAGGATGGGCAGGACAGAGAGAAAGAGATGGGATCAATAGGACGTGATTGGGTGATAGTAATCTCGCTCTAGTAATCAATCGGCTTTCTTTGTCTCCTTGGCTTGAGAAGGAGCCGCTTAAGGGGAGGCTCTGGATCTCCTGAATGCCAGTCCCTGGCACAGAGTCTGGTGCTTACATGAATTCACCGAACCAAGCAAGCAATCAATTAAAAAAAAAAAAAAAGGACTGGAGTGCATGGGAAGGAGATGACGGGAGAAAGGATGGGGATGTTGGTACCCAAGTCAGACCTTGTTATAATCACTCCTCTCTCTGATGTTACAAGAAAAATCCTCTCTGGAGAGCAGCTGTAGGCTGGTCGGAGCAGCACCCGCTGCTGCTGGCTGCAGGGACTGAAGCAACCAGGTCTCAGAATATTCTCAGTTCCGTGCTCAGCATTGTCCATCAGCCAGGAGCGGTGCTGTCTGCAGTCCAGTGGGGTATAGGGTGGAGCTCCTACTTGAGAGAGAAATAGACTATACTGCTTAGTCTAGGGTGGCCTATCCCGAGCTCTGTGCTCTAGTCTGCTTGCGAGCTGCACCTTCCTGCCTGCTCCTGCTGATTTGCATTCTAAATTCTTTTCATCTTGACTTTGACCTTTTCTGTTCCTCCTTTGCTGTTTCCATTTCCTTATCTATCAGGTCCTCAGGAGAGCGAGGTGTGAGCCCAGGGCAGAAGTTTGGGCTTGCATTCCTAGCAGCGCCTTTGTGGCTTGCAGGGAAAGAAGATCTTGCACTGTGTTTCCTTTTGGGTTGAGTTGTATTTTTAGGTCCCCCATCCTCACCCTTCCCTGTTTTGTTTTGTTTTTTTTTTATTTTAATTTTTTAAGAAATGACTTGTTTTCGGCAACGTCCAAATATCTGATGTCAAGCCTGGGAGAGTTAAGAGCAGAAGTTTGGGAGTCAGGCAGATTCCACTACGTGTGGCATGACCTTGGGCAAAGTCCTGTTAGGACTGCCGTGTGGCATGACATTTGGCAAGGTCCTTTTAGGACTCCCTACAAAGCTCCCTCTCTGACCCAGTGATAGGTATGAACTGGAAATTCAGCTTCTCTGCAGTCAGCCTGCTGCAGCTGCCCCAGCGGTACTTCCACGCTCCTCAAGCCGCCTCGAGGGCAGCTCCAATCACTAAGATGTGCCCACCTTACAGGTGGGGCAGCTAGTGAGCCTGTCTCTTTCAGCCTGCTACCTCTGAAGTCACTGCGGTTTAGGATGGAAGCACCCTCCCCCTCTGCAGTAAGTCCCTTGAGTAGCCTTTTTTGATACTTTGTTATTGGCGGTGATCTGGAAAACACTAACTGCTGGTCTTCCTATAATCTTACTATCTATTCCTTGGAGGGAGGGCTGAGCCAGGAAGCTGGGCATGGGGTCTCAGCTAATACATAAGACGCCCACTTTCAAAGGAGAGGAGAAGATTGTGGTACAGTCCAGGAAGACATCAGCTCTTTGCTCTGGGCTGGAGGGAGCACCACAGCTGGTTAGGTCAACCATCTCATGCTGATCACAAGCTCCGATGGGCAATTATAAATGTCTTTGATTAATAAAAAATGGGGTGATGAATGAATAGTTAATCAACGCAGTCTGGCAGGAAGCCTCTCTCAGAACCTGGGCGGCAGCCGGGGGGTGGGTTTGTTCTGCAGGGGTTGGGGGAGCAAGGAAAGGGGTTCTTGGGGTGAAAGGCAACACCACCTTCGATGACGGTTTCTGTCCTGATCCCAGCTACCTGATTTTTACAAAGTGGGGTTTTCCTGACAGCTAAGGATGAGCTTGGAGTGGGGAGTGAGCTGATGAGCGAGTGGGAAACTGTGTTCTGTGCCCACCCAAGTGGACAGTGTAAAGAGCCGGAAACATGATGTGCACGCATCCAAGAGCTCTAAGCTGTGCCCCTTGATCTCTAGGGCAGGACCAGTGCCTGGACCTGTGTTAAAACTGGCTTGGTTAGAGGTGGCCGAGGCAGGGTAACTTAAAGGCGTAAAGCCAGTCAAAACAGAGCAAACGAGACCCGGTCCGGATCCTAGACAGCTGTTGAAGAAGGAAAAAAGAAGAGATTTGAAAAAACAAAACAAAA